ATAATTGCACCCAATCTAGGGGGGAAATGGGGCTACCACGACACCTGCAACAGCCACTGTGGCTACTCCTACCCCTGCGATGGCCACTGTGGCTACTGAACCCCCCCCACGGGATTGCAGGTCCCCTTCCATACCCCCACCTGTGGGTGCCCCCCCCACCCCCCAAAAGCTTCGCCGGGTCCCAGGGCGAGGGGGGGCCCATCCAGGGCAGCAAATTCCAGCAGAAAAAGGGGGTTCCCCGTATCATTTTTCACTTTTTATTAGTTTCTGGGTTAGAAAAGAAGGGATGGGAGCTATAAATAGGGGTGGTCCTGTCCCCCGCGTCCCACGGGGTCTCATCCTGCCCCCCAAGGACACGACACCCACCGTGGGAGGGGGCTTTTCTTTTTCCCGTGCTGGGGGAGCCCAGCGCTGGCCCGGGGGGGGGGGACGACACACAAGGACACCCCAGTTGTCACCTCCACCCATTGCTTCCGAGGGGTTTCCAAACAGCAAACACGACGGCGACTCCGGGGGGGACGGGACACCCCAAAAGCCCCCCAAGGAGCTGAGACAGGAGCACCAGCTCCCCTCACCCCGAGACCCAGCCCCACTGTGTCCCGTCCCCCCCCAAAGTGGCCACTGGCTCCAGCTCTGCCCAAAGCCAGTGGCACCCCCAGACAGGGATTCCGGGGGGAGGGGACACCCCAAAAGTCCCCCACGAGCTGAGGCCAGAGGACCAACCCCCCTCACCCCAAGTCCCAGCCCCACGGCGTCCCCCCACAAGTGGCCCCAGCTCTGCCCAAAGCTGGTGGCATCCCAAGACAGCGACTCCAGGGTGGGGACCCCCAAAAGTCCCCCACAGGCTGAGGTGGGAGCACCAGCCCCCCTTCACCCCCACCGTGGACCCCCCACAGCCCAGATAACCCCTGTCCCCGACCCACCGCTGGCCCCACGGGCAGGGCTAAGTCTCCAGTGATGGTGTCCCACCACCATCACCACCACCACCACCAGCCTTTCACTTGTACTCGGCCAAGGCGTCCATGGGCAGCGGGAGGTGGGCGCGGGGCAGGAGGAGGGGGCGCACGGGGAGGAAGGGGCCGAAGGCTTCCCCCTCCCGGCAGCGGGAGAGGACCTTCTCCTGGTGGGCGCCCTGGTGGGCCGTCAGCTCCTTCCTGTGGGCGAAGGCCTGGCCGCACTGGGCGCAGGGGTAGACCCTCTCCGCGGCGTGGGTGAGGCGGTGGGTGCGGAGGTTGCCCTTGTACTTGAAGCTCTTTCCGCAGTCGGGGCAGGCGAAGGGGCGCTCGCCCGTGTGGATGCGCTTGTGCTTCATCAGGGTGGTCTTCAGGTTGAAGGTCTTGCCGCAGTCGGGGCAGGCGAAGGGGCGCTCGCCGGTGTGGATGCGGCGGTGGGTGATGAGGGTGCCTTTGCGGTTGAAGCTCTTGCCGCAGTCGGGGCAGGAGAAGGGCTTCTCCCCGGTGTGGATGCGGCGGTGCTTGACCAGCTCGCCGTTGTGGCTGAAGCTCTTGCCGCAGTCGGGGCAGGAGAAGGGCTTCTCCCCGGTGTGGATGCGGCGGTGCTTGACCAGCTCGCCGTTGTGGCTGAAGCTCTTGCCGCAGTCGGGGCAGGAGAACGTGTGGATGCGCTTGTGCTTCATCAGGGTGGTCTTCAGGTTGAAGGTCTTGCCGCAGTCGGGGCAGGCGAAGGGGCGCTCGCCGGTGTGGATGCGGCGGTGGGTGATGAGGGTGCCTTTGCGGTTGAAGCTCTTGCCGCAGTCGGGGCAGGAGAAGGGGCGCTCGCCCGTGTGGATGCGCCGGTGCCGCGTCAGGTCGCCGTTGCGGCTGAAGCTCTTGCCGCACTGGGGGCAGGCGAAGGGGCGCTCGCCCCCGTGGATCTTCTGGTGGAGGAGGAAGGTCTTCTTGGCGCAGAAGCCCTTGCCGCACTCGGGGCAGACGAAGGGGCGCTCGCCGCGGTGGATCTTCTGGTGGGTGAGGAAGTTGGCTTTGCGGTTGAAGCTCTTGCCGCAGTCCGGGCAGGAGAAGGGTTTCTCCCCCGTGTGGATGCGTTGGTGGAGGACGAAGGTCTGCTTGGAGCAGAAGCTCTTGCCGCAGACGCCGCACTCGAAGGGCTTCTCCCCGGTGTGGATGCGCTGGTGCCGCATCAGGTCGCCCTTCTGGCTGAAGCTCTTGCCGCAGACGGGGCAGGAGAAGGGCTTCTCCCCGGTGTGGACCCGCAGGTGGGTCACCAGGTTGCCCCGGTGCTGGAAGCTCTTCCCGCACTCGCTGCAGCCGAAGGGACGCTCGCCCCCCCGGCCACGGGCGCGACGCCCCGGCTTTGGGGGGGGGCCACTGTGGCTACTCCTACCCCTGCGATGGCCACTGTGGCTACTGAACCCCCCCCACGGGATTGCAGGTCCCCTTCCATACCCCCACCTGTGGGTGCCCCCCCCACCCCCCAAAAGCTTCGCCGGGTCCCAGGGCGAGGGGGGGCCCATCCAGGGCAGCAAATTCCAGCAGAAAAAGGGGGTTCCCCGTATCATTTTTCACTTTTTATTAGTTTCTGGGTTAGAAAAGAAGGGATGGGAGCTATAAATAGGGGTGGTCCTGTCCCCCGCGTCCCACGGGGTCTCATCCTGCCCCCCAAGGACACGACACCCACCGTGGGAGGGGGCTTTTCTTTTTCCCGTGCTGGGGGAGCCCAGCGCTGGCCCGGGGGGGGGGGACGACACACAAGGACACCCCAGTTGTCACCTCCACCCATTGCTTCCGAGGGGTTTCCAAACAGCAAACACGACGGCGACTCCGGGGGGGACGGGACACCCCAAAAGCCCCCCAAGGAGCTGAGACAGGAGCACCAGCTCCCCTCACCCCGAGACCCAGCCCCACCGTGTCCCGTCCCCCCCCAAAGTGGCCACTGGCTCCAGCTCTGCCCAAAGCCAGTGGCACCCCCAGACAGGGATTCCGGGGGGAGGGGACACCCCAAAAGTCCCCCACGAGCTGAGGCCAGAGGACCAACCCCCCTCACCCCAAGTCCCAGCCCCACGGCGTCCCCCCACAAGTGGCCCCAGCTCTGCCCAAAGCTGGTGGCATCCCAAGACAGCGACTCCAGGGTGGGGACCCCCAAAAGTCCCCCACAGGCTGAGGTGGGAGCACCAGCCCCCCTTCACCCCCACCGTGGACCCCCCACAGCCCAGATAACCCCTGTCCCCGACCCACCGCTGGCCCCACGGGCAGGGCTAAGTCTCCAGTGATGGTGTCCCACCACCATCACCACCACCACCACCAGCCTTTCACTTGTACTCGGCCAAGGCGTCCATGGGCAGCGGGAGGTGGGCGCGGGGCAGGAGGAGGGGGCGCACGGGGAGGAAGGGGCCGAAGGCTTCCCCCTCCCGGCAGCGGGAGAGGACCTTCTCCTGGTGGGCGCCCTGGTGGGCCGTCAGCTCCTTCCTGTGGGCGAAGGCCTGGCCGCACTGGGCGCAGGGGTAGACCCTCTCCGCGGCGTGGGTGAGGCGGTGGGTGCGGAGGTTGCCCTTGTACTTGAAGCTCTTTCCGCAGTCGGGGCAGGCGAAGGGGCGCTCGCCCGTGTGGATGCGCTTGTGCTTCATCAGGGTGGTCTTCAGGTTGAAGGTCTTGCCGCAGTCGGGGCAGGCGAAGGGGCGCTCGCCGGTGTGGATGCGGCGGTGGGTGATGAGGGTGCCTTTGCGGTTGAAGCTCTTGCCGCAGTCGGGGCAGGAGAAGGGCTTCTCCCCGGTGTGGATGCGGCGGTGCTTGACCAGCTCGCCGTTGTGGCTGAAGCTCTTGCCGCAGTCGGGGCAGGAGAAGGGGCGCTCGCCCGTGTGGATGCGCCGGTGCCGCGTCAGGTCGCCGTTGCGGCTGAAGCTCTTGCCGCACTGGGGGCAGGCGAAGGGGCGCTCGCCCCCGTGGATCTTCTGGTGGAGGAGGAAGGTCTTCTTGGCGCAGAAGCCCTTGCCGCACTCGGGGCAGACGAAGGGGCGCTCGCCGCGGTGGATCTTCTGGTGGGTGAGGAAGTTGGCTTTGCGGTTGAAGCTCTTGCCGCAGTCCGGGCAGGAGAAGGGTTTCTCCCCCGTGTGGATGCGTTGGTGGAGGACGAAGGTCTGCTTGGAGCAGAAGCTCTTGCCGCAGACGCCGCACTCGAAGGGCTTCTCCCCGGTGTGGATGCGCTGGTGCCGCATCAGGTCGCCCTTCTGGCTGAAGCTCTTGCCGCAGACGGGGCAGGAGAAGGGCTTCTCCCCGGTGTGGACCCGCAGGTGGGTCACCAGGTTGCCCCGGTGCTGGAAGCTCTTCCCGCACTCGCTGCAGCCGAAGGGACGCTCGCCCCCCCGGCCACGGGCGCGACGCCCCGGCTTTGGGGGGGGGTGCCGGGAGGCGGCGTTGCCCACCCCGCAGGAGGAGGGGGGGTCCTGCCCGGTGCCACCCACCGCAGCTCTCCCCTTCTCCAGGCAGAGCCCCCGGGGCTCGGGGGTGGCCAACGGCCCCCCAGGTGCCACCGGAGGACACCGGGGCTCGGCCACCGTCCACCAGCTGACGGGGGGTCCCAGGGAGCCCCCCCGGGCAGCCCCCAGACTCTTCTCCAGCTCGGCCACCCCCGGTTTCGCCTCCTCGGGCTCCTCCTTGGGCCACCGGCCACCGGTCCCCTCTGGCAAGAGAAGGGGCCATCACTTGCCACAGCTCGGGAGCCCTCCCAGGAGACCCCCCCCCGGCCACGTCCCCCCCCTCAGGACATCCCTCCTCCAAAGACCCCCCAGCTTGGGCCAGAGGGTCCCCCCTTTTCTGCCACAGGGTGCACCTCGGAGCCCCCGGGAGGAGGAGAGACCCCCGACCCGGGTGGCACCGGCACATGGCGAGGGGGGGCAGCGAGGACGGGGGCCAGAGCAGACCCTAAAGCTTCACTCCCCCAAGTTCTTCCAGCCCTGTCCAGAGAGGACCCTCCAAGGAGCCAGGACACTTGCCCCCACAGCTCCCCCCAGTCCCCTGGAGCAACCCCGGTGGTCACCCCAGTGGTCACCTGCATTGCCGCGGTGGCCAGGAGCTCCTGGGTCACCCAGACCTGGGGGGCACCCCATGAGGGGCTCCTCCTCCGGCTCCACCTTCACGATGATCTCGGGCTTGGTGTCACCTGCGGGGGGAGAGCAGGGTGTTGTGGGGGGCACCGGCAGGGACAGAGGAGCCACCGGTGGCTCTAGACCCCAGGGTGGCACAGGACAGTGTCACCACCCCCAGGGTGGCATGGGACAAGGTGTCACCATGACCTCGGTGTCATGGGACAAAGTGCCACCATGACCTGGGTGGTGTGGGACAGTGTCACCGGCCCCTGGGTGACACAGGACAAGGTGTCACCATCCCCAGGGTGGCATGGGATGGTGTCACCATGACCTGGGCGGTGTGGGACAGTGTCACCAACCTCTTGGTGGCACAGGACAGGGTCACCATGCCCTCCCCCCGCCACCCCAGCCCAACTCACAGGCAGGGGGGTGGTGGGACACATCCCCCTCGGGGACACCGGGGCAGAAACCGCCGTCGGGCTCCTCCTCGGGCTCGCTCTTCACCTCGGCTTTGATCCCTGGGGGGGAAAGGCACGGGCCCTGGGTCAGAGCCCTCAGGGATGTCCCCACAGTCTGACCCTGTCACCACCAAGACCTTGGGGATGTCCCCACACTCCATCTGTGTCACCATGGCGACCCCAGGAATGTCCCCACCATCCAGCACCAAGCCCTTGGAGATGTCCCCACACTGCATCCATGTCACCAGCGAGCCCCCAGGGATGTCCCCATGTTCCCAGCACCAAGCCCTTGGAGATGTCCCCACACTGCATCCATGTCACCAGCGAGCCCCCAGGGATGTCCCCATGCTCTGCCCCTGCTGGAACCAAGACCTCAGGGATGTCCCCACCACCCAGCACTGAGCTCTTGGGGACATCCCCACGCTCTGTCCAGCATCAAGCCCCCAGGGATGTCCCCACGCTCCATCCATGTCACCACCGAGCCCCTGGGGACGTCCCCATCCTCCTGTCACCAAACCCTTGGGGATGTCCCCACGTTCTCCCCATCCCACCACCAAGCCCTCGGGGACGGGGATGTCCCCACGCTCTGCAGCCACCCGGAGCAGCCCCTGTGGGGCAGGGGGCTCCATCCTGGGGGGTCTCACCAAGCTCCCAGCCCTCCCCCAGGCCCCCCCAACTCTGCTCACCAGTGCTGGGGAGGCTGGTGACACTGGTGGCCCCCGTGCCCTGGGGACAGCCGATGTAGGACTCCTCCTTCGGCTCCGTCTTCACCACGATCTCACACTTCACCCCGGCCCAGTCCGTTTCTGAGGAAAATAAAGCGGATTTGGGGGTTCCTGGGCAGCGTGGGCTGCCCAGCACCACACCGGTGGGCACAACCCCCCCCCGTGGGTACTATGTTGGGGGGAAGAAGCCATCAAGCCGTAGACCCCCCCCCAGCCGTGGGCAGCAACGGCTCGTCCCTCCCTGCTGCCCGAGGGGGACCCTCACCCCCCAAA